AACATATAAGTAATCACTCAGATTTCATGAACTAAACAAATTCTCATATCTATAGTCTGGACCAAGAACTGGAGAGTCCAAAACTCCCAAAAAGAAAGGAAAATGCTGGAAAGTAAAGAACATTTCCTTGAAATCAAGTCACGTGAGTAATTACAATGGAGAGGAAAGAAGATTCTCCTAGGAGAGTTTTTACATGCTTCATAATGCACCTGTTCCAAGAATGGATTTGAGACACTTCTATAGCAGTAAGGAGCAGAAGATAGTCATTAAGATCCAACAAGCATTTAATGACTATGACAAACTATTTGCATAATGTGCTTCTTATTCAAATCCCCTTTAAAATGTCTATGCTGTATAGAAGAAATTCCATCATTGAATATCAAACAATGAAATTGAACATAAAATTTTTGAGTGTATGAACAATCTCAAGCTTGGAAGTGTATCAAATAATTTATACCCCCAAAATGCATCTTTTTGTTTACAGAGGAATCAACAAAACATTTTAATCAGTTTACAGGCTAAAAATGAAAATTCTGTTTTTTTTTTCTTTTTTTAAATTTTGAAATTTTAAAGCATATAATGGAATTTAAATAAATGATATGTGTCCTACAATATTGGAACTAAAGAAGAGCAATATAAAGTGTAGTATTTTTGTGTTCAAACAAAATTATTCTGTGAGATTCTGGACTAATACAAGTTGTTATTGACCTTGGTCAGCAAGGTGATCTTACCAAATTCTTCTCAGAGCATCTATCTGATTTCAGTTTAGGAAAGGGCAGCCCTCCCATGAGTATCAACAAAACATGGCATATCAAGCTGCAGTAAGACTAAGTACCTGCCCATGTATTAAGGCTGGGCAAAGCGACCCAGTATAAGGAATGGGGTCCCAGAAGCCAGTAAAAGAGTCAGAGAGAACCCCTGTTCCTGCTGTTAGGAGTCCCACAAGAGGACCAAGCTACACAACGGTAGTATCTATGCAGAGTGCCTAAGGTCAGTCCCATGCAAGCTCCCTGTTGTCAGTTCAGTCTCTGCAAGCCCCTGTGAGCCCAGGTTAGTTGATTTTGTGAGTTTTCTTGTGCTGTCCATAACCTCTTGGCTCCTACAACCCTTTTCCCCCTCTTCTTCTTATCATGTTTTGAGTGAAAATACAAGCACTTAATTTAACTATGGGTACTACATCTTAACACTCCAGAATCAAAACTTTCTAATGTAATATTTATAGGCCAAATATATAAAATAAGTGTTCATGCATTATGAGATTGGAAAAAAGTATATAAATGACAAAATGTGAGAGTCATGTTTCCATTGTGCAAAAGGAAAATTACAGAAATGAAAGAAAGTACAGAATAAACTTAGTACTACTGGGTTAGAGGCAGAGGCATCAGGATCAATTCATGTAGAACTTCTTACAAATGCAAATGAAAAGATAGAGAATAATGAATGACTTGTGGACACAGTTTACAAAGCCAAACATGAAATAGGGAAAACAGGTCCCTCACTATATATATATATATATATATATATATATATATATATATATATATATGCTAGAAATGTGCAGTAATGGTATTTACATGCTGGGAGTAACCAATAACCATCTAATTGGATTTAAGTTATACCTTATGGGGAATTCATACTTGGCACTGTAAACCTAGCCCACTGCCTGTGGTTGGTGAGACTATGGACCCTATAGAGAACTAAGTGTTCTTCACTACACCAATATAATGTCTACCCGTATTCTTCATACTTACCCTCATACTTAAAGATCAGTGTAGCTCTCATCCCTCATCAAAGAATCTTTTCTTTTCAGCAAGGCTCTTTCAGAAAGTTACAAGTAATCAAAATACAGACTGACTGTGGGCTGCTCAGCCCTGGCTGATAAATCTACAGCACCACTCCAACACCTGAACCTCAAAAACCATTATGCAAGAGGAAGTGGAAAGATTCTAAAAGTGAGAGGACCAAAATGGGATATTTGCTGTGAGATGTGTCTCCTTTATAGTACAGGGAAACTGCACTCAGGAAATCTTAACAATATTGTTGCCTAAATACTACCTAAAAATGACAATACCAATTGACATGACAAAATGGATAGGTAAATTCTCATAAGGCTTCACCCATAGTACTAGATGTGTGAGCAGAAAAGTTCATGATGAGAGAAGAAATCAAATCCAACAAGAGCAGGCATTACCATATGTGGAAGAATCAATCTGATAGAAATGATTAACCAAGCTGTTTGTATTACTACAGCTCTATAGTAGAGCTTGAGGTCAGGCATGGTAATACCATCAGAGGTGGCTTTATTGTACAGGATTGTTTTAGCTATCCTGGGTTCTTTTGTTTCTCCATATGAAGTTGAGTATTGTTCTTTCCAGGTCTTTGAAGAATTGTGTTGGGATTTTGATGGGGATTGCATTGAATCTGTATATTGCTTTTGGTAAGATTGCCATTTTTACTATGTTGATTCTACCTATCCATGAGCATGGGAGATCTTTCCATTTTCTGATATCTTCTTCAATTTCTTTCTTCAGAGACTTAAAGTTCTTGTCACACAGGTCTTTCACTTGCTCAGTTAGAGTTACCCCAAGGTATTTTGTGTTATTTGTGGCTATTGTAAAGGGTGATGTTTCTCTTATTTCTTTCTCAGCCCTTTATCATTTGTATATAGGAGAGTTACTGATTTATTTTAGTTAATCTTGTATTCTACCACATTGCCGAATATGTTTATCAGCTGTAGAAGTTCCCTGATAGAATTTTTGGGGTCACTTATATATATTATCATATTGTCTGCAAATAGCAAAAGTTTGACTTCTTCCTTTCCAATTTGTATCCCTTTGATCTTCTTTTGTTGTCTTATTGCTCAGCTAGAACTTCCAGTACTATATTGAAAGAGATACCATGATAGAGGGAGATATAATGGGGATAGGGAGAAACCATGTGCTAGGGAAGTTCCCAGGAATCCACAAGGATGACCCCAGCTTAGACTACTAGCAATAGTGGAGAGGGTGCCTGAACTGGCTCATCCCAGTAATCAGATAAGTGAATAGCCTAACAGTCATCATAGAGCCTTTCTTCAGTAACTGATGAAAACAGATGCAGAGAGATCCACAGCCAAACACCAGGCCAAGCTCCAGGAGTCCAGTGGAAGAGAGAGAAGAGGGATTCTATGAGCAAGGGGCATCAAGATCATAATAGGGAAACGTACAGAGACAACCAAACCAAACTAGTGGAAACTCGTGAAATTTAGATCAATAACTGTGGAGCCTCTAAGGGATTGGACTAGGCCATCTGCATAAGCAAGACAGTGGTGTAGCTTGATCTGCTTAAGGGGCCCCCAGGCAGTACAATCGGGATCCATCCCTGGTGCATGAGTGGGCTTTTTGCAACCCACTACCTATGGGGGTACACCTCGCACAGCCTTGAGGCAGAGGTGGAGGGGAGAGGTTGGACCTGCTTCTACTGCTGACTCCCCAAGGGAGGCCTTACCTTTTTGTAGAAGGGAATGGGAGGGTGAGTTGATAGGAGAGGCCGGAAGGGTGGGAGTAAGGAAGAGGAGGATCTGTGATTGGCATGTAAAATGAATAAAATAATTTCTTAACAAAAGAGAAATTATTAACCAGCAACAAATGGCAAGTTTTCAGATTCCAATATCTTCTGATCATAGATCAAGTAAACAGTATCAGTATTGACAAGAACAGACAAACTTAAGGCAAACTTAATGCACCCAAACACATTCACAGTCTAAACCATGGCTTCTGTCATCTTTCATCAATGTGTTTTGAGTGTGCACTCGGGGAACAAGCAATAGTATCAATTGACTGATAATCCCGTTTTCCTTGCTTTGGTTGCCTCCTCTGTGGAAGGCAACTTATATGATAATGAAGATTCAAAACAATGCTAATATTTATGTCTGTCCTCATGACAGGTCACTCATCTTATCTGATTCTCAAAACTATTCTATTCTAATATTGCAATCTAGCCATACCATTTTCCTGTTATCCATGCTTTTTTAATAATTTTACCTAATTCTAGTGCCATATCCAAAGATGAATATTAAGAAAAATGTTCATTGGTGCATACACCAATAAAAAGTTCTTTCACCCATTCATTTCTGGTATCTCTGAATGAAGCTTCAAAATAGCAACAGCCTATTTGTTTTCATATATAAAGAGGTATAAAAGTCCTTTCTGAGGATGAAAATTAAATTACTACTTTTTCTCTTGACTGGGCATGACAATTCTTCCATGAGCTCCAAAAACATAATGGAGACAAAGGTATTTTGTGACATATGTATATTATATATGTTCAGAAGGGATTATTCATACAACTTGATGGTACCTTTGGACCTGCCTATGCTAAACTAGATGTAGGAGTAAAACATATGATGATTTCTTGGATTTGTTTATGGAAACAGTAAATTCCTAAATAATGGGCAGTTTTAAAAACATGTCTATTAGGTAACCCATGGTAAGAACTCTTGGTTCTTATAAACCTTCAGTAACATCTAAGGGTTTATTTTTTTTTCAAGCAGTATTAGGGCTTTACTTACAAGATACAAGGTTCTGTCCAGGAATTGATGTGCATAATCTCTTTGGCTTGTCCAAACAATCCATTCATGTTATTACCTATTGTAATTAAGTTCCATTTACTTTGATTCCTTTGTACATAAAATCCGAGTGTTGTGGAACCTGGTACTGAATACTAAACTCTGTGCACGGACCCAGTGAATGCAAACCATTGTGACTAACGTTAAATTCCAGTCAGCACATGGAATTCACAGAAAGCTGCATTATGGCAGGAGAAAAATGAACATAGAACTAGAAAAAGCAACAAGTACGCATCACTCGTCTTTTGTTTGAAAATCTGGTTTTAGCAAACGCATTTCTTCCTTTACAAACAATAAATGTACTTGATAGTTTGAATATAAACTATATTTTCCAACCACACACAGGAAAAATATTTACAACTCAATAAATGCAATAACTACATTCATATTAAAGCAGACCTTTTATTTTAAAACCATCTTAATTTTTAAAACAAGAACAAAAAACAGCAAAGTACAAAAGTAGTTGGAAGAACATTAAATTTCATGAAATGCGTTCTGTCGATTACTCTTATCGTAAGCCCTCAAATATCTCCACATGTTATTTGACTAACTTTACAAATAACAGCAATTCCATTTTGGAGATGTCCAGAGACAAAACAAGAATGCTTCCAGCCCTGTAATTTTACTTTGTTTCCATAATAAGAACATTTCTAATCAGTGCAGAAACCTGTCCAGGCTTCAGATATCGACTCCTCAGCTTTGACATTGCTGCTTTTACTTCTTTGTTTCTCAAAGTGTAGATAACTGGGTTTAATATGGGTGTAAAGATGGTGTAGAACACAGCAAGGACTTTGTCAACTGAATAACTGCTAAAGGGCCACACATAGATGAAGATGCATGGTCCAAAGAAGAGTATAACTACAGTGATGTGAGCAGTTAGGGTGGAGCGGGCCTTGGCCATGCTAGCAGAGGAGCGATTCCTAACTGTAATGAGAATCACAGTGTAGGAGACAACCAAGAGGAGAAATGAACTCATGGAGAGAAAGCCACTATCTGCAACTATCAGTAAGCTGACAACGTAAGTGTCTAGGCAAGCTAACTTGGTCACCAGTGGGAGATCACAGAAAAAACTGTCTACCTCATTAGGACCACAAAATGGCAAGTTAACAGTGAATGCCAACTGGCTAGTTGTATGAATGAAACCCACACACCAGGAGATGATGACCAGAATAATACACACACGGCGACTCATGATTGTCATATAGTGTAGAGGTTTGCATATTGCAACATAGCGATCATAGGCCATGGATACAAGAAGTACCATCTCCCCACCAGTAAAGAGATGAACAAAGAAAATCTGAGCCAAGCAGGCATTAAAGGATATAGTTTTTCGTTCAACCAGAAAGTCAGCAAGCATTTTGGGTGTAGCAAAAGAGGCCACACATATATCTATAAAAGATAAATTTGCAAGCAGAAAGTACATGGGGGTATGAAGTCGAGAGTCTGAAGTCACTGTGAGGATAATGAGGAAGTTGCCCAGCAGAATTGCTAAGTACAGGAGTGAAAATATGAGAAATAAGAAAGGCTGGAGCTCCTTTGAACTTGACAGGCCCAACAGCACAAACTCTGTTACCCGAGAGTAATTTGTTTCATTCATTGACTTTGGAAGAATTTGTCTTCAGTTGCTGAATAGAAACAGAACAGAAATCAATCGATTAAATAAGTTTGGCTTGCTTTCTCAATTACAGTTCATATTTCAAAGATTATTCTTTTTAATGTTTTTATCCATGGGGTTATTCAAAACTACATGAATAATGCCATAAAATGTTGTATGAATCTAGTCATATATAGTCTGAAATCAGTCCAAGTGAATACATGGTTTTGAGGAACCTGACTATAGTCATCCTTGAACAGAAGATAAGGATCAGAAGGACACTGAGGCCTGGGAGCACTCTTGCTGATGTGGCTGATGACAGTGTTCACCTTGCGAAAGCTTAGTGAAATGTACACTTCTTGTTTTGCCATTTTACAACCACGCTTTGTGTTTATGAAGTTTATAGCTGCAAAGACAGACAATTCTGGATTTGTGTAAATTAGCTAATCAATGAAACGGACCCTCACCCTGAGTAACTACATATTATCTCCTCCTCTCCAACTACAAATTCTGTAAAGGAAATACCAAGTCCTGGCATAAATGGAAAATACAGAACTTCACAGACTTTTTCTTCTGGTCATTCAGATCATCATACAGTTTCTCCTTACAAAGAAATCAGATATATTTGTTCCTGTCAGCTAAGCCTGGAGAATCTAATCTTTTTCATACACAGTCACTAGTGTTAGTAATCACAGGAATTTATTGGGACACACACACACACACACACACACACACACACACACACACACAGATTTGAAAATCCCCAAGAATAATTAAGTTTAGGGAGAGTGATTATGTATCATAGGAATTTATGCTGCAGGAAATTTTTCTTCCTACATGGATAATATGTCTTATTTTATCTGAACTTTATCCCTTTTATCTTGTTTTTACACATATAAGTGATCTATAACCCACAGACCTTTAGAGAAATGAGAAAATTAGAAAGCAGTCTGCAAAAGGTCAATAGATTATCTCAATTTGAAAATCATCACATCTAAATCAGGTCTTGAAAGATGTGTTTTTATTATTTCTAGACACTGGCAACTATAAATATCAATGTCTTCTTAGATCAAAATTGCTTGAGTTTCACTGGGTGAGTTACACATAGGGCAATAAATGATGAATAATCTTAATTAATTTCCAGAAACAAACTCAGAGAATAACTTTTGTATTTCATGTCTCCAACTTGTCAGCACCCCGCAACGAACTAATTTGTGTTTTATCACTTTTACCATCAAAGCAAGCACACCAAGGTATTCAGAAATGTTTAAGAAGTAGAGTTTTAAAGCAGAGCATCCTATAGAAAAATATATATAATAGAATGTTTTATTTTTGAGAAGGTACCACAATTTTTTTTCTGAACCTTCTTTTTTTTTTTTTTTAAGCTTTCTTTTATTTTTTCCGAAGTCCCAACTCTTAGATAACTGCCACAGAGGACACTTGTAGGCAGGAAAGGGAGTAATACAGATGGAAACATCTTGCTGGAATTTTCATATAAACCCCTTAAGGGAGAGTAAGTGTGAAAGAATCAGAAGGAACTTCCTAGAGCAATGTGACAGAGGCATTTGTGAGCAGAAAATTTAAAATACAGTATAAAGTTCAATCATATAAGTAGATCAAATCAAGAACCAGCCTCCACTAACTCCTCTGACTTTCCTGTAAAGTTGATTTCTCACACTGACTGTGACTTCTGGGACTCTTGGAAAGCTTTAGGAAAATCTAGAACCAAGTTTCTTAGTGTCTGAAATAAAAGCTGTGGGAGTGTGTACTCTAAATGTATTTCCCATGTAAATTTAAATTCTCTGCTCACAAATGCCTCTGTCACATTGCTCTAAAAAGTTCCTACTGATTCTTTCACACTTACTCTCCCTAATGGGGTATTTATGAAAATCCCAGCAAGATGTTTCTACTTGTAATATTCTTTTTCCTGCCTGTAAAGATCCTATTTGAGAGTTAGGGCTTCTGAGAAATAAAACAAAGGTTAAAAAAAGAAGGTTCAGGGAAAAAAAATGTACCTTCTCAAAAATCAAATGTTCTATTATAGATTTATATCTGCTTCTATAAAGAGTATAGGTCAGTATTATTGATCCCTTGATAATTCAGAGAAGTTAATAAAATCAATTGCCTTCTTTGCATGGCACATTATATATTAGATGAAAAGTGTTAACATTTTATCTGAAATAAATTCTATATTGATGAAAGCCAGAAATGATATGTCAGTATAATTGTGTAATTGGGCGTCTACAAATCACTGCCTGGGTCCTTTAACCTCTTAGGACTCATCATCCTTACATGTTAATCAGATTATCCTAAAAAAAAATCACCAAATTTGCCTCCCAAATGATTATTTAGGTGATGAGTCAATGATTTCTAAGAATTTATAATTACTGTTAAGTTATAGTGTGTTGTCTTAGATTATTCTAATTTAATCTAAGCTAGTTATTATTTGATAATTTCACATTGCTGGCATAACTCAGACTAAAATATGTTTCCAATTAGATGTGCTCATGTTTACTGATTTTGGTTCTTACAATATTTAAAGATGAACCATGCCTGAAGATTTAGAGGGGCAGAGTGATCTTCAATTTCCCAATTTTTGAAATTTTAATCTATAAATTTTTCTGCAGGACTATTACTCAGATATTAGAACTGATAGATGAAGTGAGGAAGAATATGTAGTTTACAAGAGTCACAAAGCTTTCTGTTCCGTGGATGCACCTTTCACCAACTTTTAAACATTTCTGTCCTCTTACTTTCCAACTCAAGACAAATAGGTGCATCACATTGCTGGTAGTGGACACATTTTGATACATTGTCTTTGCATACATACAAAAACACTTTGCTAGTTTGATTTTAAGTGGAAATATGTAGCTATCCTGTAATCTACTGTAGTCATTAACAATTGGAAAGATTTAGTTGCTATACATCACTACAGGGATAACATAACATTTAGTTTTTGGGAAAACAATAGGAAGAAATAAGTTGAATGTCTGTAGCCACAAGGGTCTGCTTTCTAGTAGATCAGCTGTAGTTGTATGTGGGGGTTCTAAGGAGCTGGGGAGCACTTAGATAGCCAAAAATCTGAAATGGGGAAAAGACAATTAAAAAGAAGTTTCAAAATAAATAATATTTTACAGAATTTGCAAAAGACTTTGCCTAACTCTAGATATAGGATGCTTCTATTCACAAAAAATAAATTAGATAACCACAAATAACTTTCAACATCCTCCAGAAATTAACATCTATGATGAATATTCACATTTCTTGGTTTACATTGCATATATAATGTATATATACATTTACTTACATGTCATAAGAATGTGTCTCCTGACTTATCTCATCTTATAGTTCCAGGAAAAAAAAAAGTGATCTTTTTTAAAAGCACCAACCAAGAGCAGCACAATACCGCAGGAGCCAATATATAGGTGAGGAAGGCAGGAAACCCATGCCTTTCCCAATTTAATTTCCACCCTCAATTCCTTGGAATATGACTGTCATCAGCATAGAGTTATATAAAAAGCAATTGCAATGATTAGAAATTAATTGTGAATTGACGTCACTGGACTGTAGTGACCAAGAGACCCACATGAGAGCTGAGATCACAGAAATTGCCTCCATTAGAGATAATTACATGAGAGAGTTGTTTACTCACTAGAACAACTTGAGTATTCAACACATGCAGCAAGAAGCAGAACTAGCAAAATAATTTGTCTTGTTATAGACCATACAATGTGGTTGGGGAAAAAAATCAAGGAGTAAGTTTTTGGTTAATTCATTTTGCTTCAAGACATAAACATCAGTGAGAATGTCAACATTTGATAAGAGTTCATGTGCCAAGGTATTTTCATAATACCAAGCCCAAAAATACCTTGCTGTGTTAATCCTTAGAAGCATGTATGATTATATTCTTGGTATATAAGGCATGGATTCTAGACCAAGGGTATTATGGACCTGTCATATACAAAAACTGACCCTCTAGAACAATGTTATGCCTCATGTACTTAAATACAGTCATAGCATTAGACACATATTCAGTTTATAAAGAAGAAATAAGTACGAAATGCTTTTTAAGTATGCATTTCCTTTTATATGTTTGCATCTATATGTTTCCTATTTATATTCAGATACAGAGTTTGAAGATAGTTTTATATCTTTCATATTAGTTTGTGGTTTTATTATTTATTTATTTATTTTGCTAAAATACAATTGACACAATCTGAAATTCCCCAGGAACATCCTGTGAATTGAAGTTTACATCCAGCTCTCACAACACAAGAACCTTGTGTCATTAATTAACATAAAGTTATTTGACATTCATGGCCTAACCTTCAAATATGGGTCCATTAAAATGCAAGAAATGCCTACTTTTTCTCCTAGCAGTTTCACTATTTCAGGCATCACATTTCAGTCTTTGATCAACTTGGAGTTAACTTTTATGCAAGGTGATAATTACAGATAGTATTTCACTCTTCTTCATGTGGAAATCCAGTTTTCCCAGTACCATTTGTTGAGCATGATGTCTGTTCTCCAGCTTATGATTTTGGAATCTTTGTCAAATATTAGATGGTTTCAGTTATGCAAACTCATATTTGGGTCTTCAATTTTGTTCCATCATTCTACTTTGTTTTTGTTACTATTGTCCGCAATGTGTCTCGGTATCTGGAATTGTAATTGCTCCAGCATTGATCATTTTGCTCAGGAACCTTTTGTAGTTCCATAAGAATTTTAGGATAGACTTTTTACAAGAATTTCTGTGAGGAATGAGATACCAATTTTGGGTAGAGTTGCATTGAATCTACAAATGGATTTTGATAAAATGGTCATTTTCCTGTTACTTCTACCAATCCATGAGCATGGATGTCTCTATTTCCTAATGCCTTTATCTCTTTCTCAGAGATCTAAAAATTTTAATATAGTAGTCTTTCACTTCCTTGGCTAGGTTCAATCTAGAAATTTTATTTCTTTGATGCTATTAGAAAAGGGATTGTATATGAGTATGTATAAAAATGCTACTGATTTATGTAATTTGCTTCTGTATTCTGCTATATTGCTGAATTTTTTTATCTTATCTAGTTTTATGATAGAAGTTTTGGGATCTCTTATGTATAATATCATGTCATCTACAAATAAGGATAATTTGACTTCTATTTGTATTCCTTTGATTTCCTTCACTTGTCTTATTGCTCCAGCTAGTATTTCAAGTACAATATTGAAAATGAGTGGGGATTGTGGAAATCTCTCTCTTGCTTTTAATTTCTGTGAGATTGCCCTAAATTTATCTATATTTAGAATTATGTTGCCTGTGGCTTTCTCATATAAGTTTTATTAAGGTGAAGTATGTTTTTGCTAGTCCTATTCTCTCTAGGGTTTTTATCATGAAAGTATGTGAAATTTTCTTGAAGGCTTTTTCTTAAATATTAAGTTGATAATTTATTATTGTCTTTAAGTCCATTATTGTGTTTATTGTGTTTATGCTATGTGTTTATGTTATTTGCATGTGTAGAACCATCGCTGAATCTTAGTTTTAATGACATTATTAATATGGAAGATATTATTTCAGTTTACTGTGTACTGGTTTATTACAATTTACTTCCCAAGACCATACATACCTGAACCAAACTTTCTCACTTAAGATTCATGTGCTTTCAATACCTATGTAAGATTTTTTCCATTATTCAATATACTTTGAATTTTAAAAACATAGTTGTGCTGGGCGATTGTGGCACATGCCTTGATCTCAGCACTTGGGAGGCAGAGGCAGACAGATCTCTGTGAGTTCAAGGCCAGCCTAGTCACCAGAGTGAGTTCCAAGACAGCCAAGGTTACACAGTGAAATACTGTTTCAAAAAATAAAAATAAAGAAAAAGAAAAACAAAACAAACAAATAAAAACATAGTTGTAAAATTGACTCATACTATAGCCTCATTTTAACATCTGATCCTTAAAATAAGAAGAAGAAATGATTTTTTTTTCCACCTATGTGGACTATAAAATTCTGACTTCTAATAAGTCTATTTTTTCATCTATCACTATTGTTAATACTATTTGGTGTATGGAAAATGACCTTTATTTAAAGGAATGGAGTGTTATTATCTAAAGTCTTTCATCATGTAAGCTATTCAGTTATTTCTCCAAATTAAAATATGGTACAATACTAAGATAATAGACAGATCAAGTTAGTGT